ACATCTAAAAACATCAGTGTGTTCTCAACATTATTGTCATACTAAATCCAAAACACAGCACTACACCAGCTATTAGCAAGAAAATGAACTCTATCCCAGCTGAAATTAGGACACAAGCTTATGATTTGTAATGATACTTAGAATGATTAATAATATATGATTTATAATTCTATGGCACTATGATAAACTTAATCCACAATTTAGATAATAAATCAACAATCAGGAATTAAAGGCTTCTCTTCAGGGAGGTAGAGACCTGAGTTGATACATACATGAGTGTATGAAGTCACAGAACAACTATCTCATCAGGCACATACGTAAGGGGCCTCTCCCCGCATAAGGAAAAAAGAGGATTCTTCCTGAAACTTAACTTTAATGGTTAACTGACTAATACATTTCACATTAACACCAAAAATCACCACCGAAGACTGATGGACAAATGAAAGATTTCAGTCAGATGTAGTGCCTGAAGCAAACACTGAACTTTCTGCTTCAGATAACCCTACCATCTGTGTATCTACAACTGAGAAAATGAGTATGTCAGTCTTGGGTCGCACAAAGGGAAAAAAAAATCTGAGAAATTCTCATGTCACTGCTCTGCAGTGCTTGAGCTTAATATTTTTCTCAAGAAAAGAAACAGATTCCAGATCTTAGACAGAGAATACCATATTTCATTAGATTTTCTCTGACAAAGAAAAAAACAAAATCAAAGGCAAAAAAAAAAGGAATAGTTTAGTGTGGTTCAATGGGTCTCTGAATGCAGAGCATGAATAAACTCAGAAATACTTGAAGTTGTTTAAATTTCAATGTCTTGTCTACAAAATAGAAGAACATATATTTCAGAAAAAGGAGTGTGTCATGGATCTGTGGCTCCTTCTGTTCTCAAAACTCCAAGAACAAACCTACTGCCTCCATGTCTCTACTCAGCTGGAAACTTAAAATGTTTGACAAAGTTTGGCTGGGGCTTGTGTTTAACTTGTCTTCAGCTTGACTTTGGCTATTTTGTTGGATACTTCTGGCCAGCACTTAATCTACTTGACCAGACATCTTCCATACATAGAAAATACTGTTTAATGTAAATGGCAGAACTGCACCAAAGCAAAAGAAAGAATATTTCAAAAGGAACAAAGAGTCCGTATGTGTTTACTTTTCTCAGTGCCTCACCCCAAGAGATGAAAAACAATTCTGAATTCTTAGGAATCTCCTCTTATGCTCCTGAAAAGGTACCTCAGCCAGCTTGTTTTGCTAAAAGGAAAGCTTGGACAACTGCTTTTTGCAGTTTCTAGACAGTGAATTTTAAACGTTGCTTATGGCCTTTGTTATGGATTGTTTGCTTTACAATATCCGCAAAACAAATCCCGTAACTTTGGCAGGAGTCTGAAAACAGTATCTTCACACCTGATCTGGGCTATGAGATATTTCATCTGTACCTGTTTTACTGCTTCGCTGGCATGTTTCTTGGCTTGCATGTAATTAATGCAATCCAGTGCAAATTTACAGTACCTTCACCTGGACAGTGAGGTGGGGGTGCCCTAAGGAGCACACTTCCCATTTCAGGGGCTTAAAATCAGAGACAGCCAAGGACTAATGCCCGTGTATGTGGAGCAGCAGTTCCAACAGTTTGAAGAGAAGTAAGTGCACTCATGCAGATCAACTGCATTCTGAGGCATAGTGTCTCCAACACACCCAATACCTAAATTAATGAGAATGAGGTGTCTGAATACATTATACATGTCCATAAATTAAGGAAACCCTGTTGACATTGATGATTCAACATTAGAACTCCCAAGCCAATCTGAAGCTGTTCAGGTGGAAAGCCTGGCTCTTGGAAAAGTGAATGCTAGGCTGTCTTAGATGCACAGTATTAATCAGTACAAAGCTATTGTAGTGCCTAACGGAGTTGTGAATTCCTGTTTTCTGATTGATGGATAGATTGCATGGGATTATCCCTAATCAGGTACTTCAAATAATGTGAATCTCTCCATCTGGCATCGAACTAAGTGACACAAAACTGCTTCCCCCGAATCTCAGCAGGGTTTGGATAGGGAAGAAGACAAATTAAGTAAATCACTGTGCAAGAAATATTTCCTTTCCTTGGTTCACTAAATAATGAAAAATAAGGATGGTTCTAACTTCATAAGTAGTGCAAAGATACATATTTACAAACTCCAATTCAGTGCAAAACTAAACAGAAAAATCTAGCAGTTTCAAAGAATCTGTGTCCATCCCTCCCATATTTTAGACATCCTCCCAGCTGTGTAGTTATTACATTTCATTGGACAAGTGAACAGTTTAGTTTTGTACATCTGAGTCCATATTCCATTTAAATGCAAAGCAATATTAATTAATTGTCTGAAAGCTTAATTTTCATCCATTTATTTGTCATAGTATGTCTTTGTGAATATGTCTTTATTTTAATGGGAGGAATTTATTTTCTTAAACAAAGTAATACTAAAACTGAGTATGGATAATAAATATATAAAACTGAGCTTTTAATGTTCATGCAAACCACACATATATACTGCAAAGGTGTTAAAACTCAGTAAAAAATAAGAACCTATTTAAAAATATTGCTTTTAAAGCAATTGTCTACATTTAATATTTAAGCCTTTGGGAAAAAGTAAAGCAAAAACACTTTTACTGTGTAACGTTCTCTTAAAATATGGATGAGCACTTCATTTCTGATAAGACAGCATGCATCAGGAATTTGCTGCATTAAGGTTCTAGCAGATCAAGGGACAAAGAAAACAATGTTCAGAAAGATGAGAAAGATGCTGATTAAAAAATAAAAACCAAACAAATCAAGAACAGGTTTTGACATGAGCATTAGTGCTGCCCTATGTAGTCTTCAGGTGTTATTGAAGATACTGACTTTTCTCCAGTCTTATTTTTTACCTCTACGTTTTTCTGCCAGTATAAATCTAGTTTTTATGCGTTTCCAAATCAGACTGATAAAGCACTCCCAAAAAATCAAAGGGGAGGAATTAGATCAAAGACAATAAGCATGACAGATAAAGGCAGAGCTAGCTCATAATAATAAACCACAGAAAAACAATCCCCTTTTCATCAGGTTGCATGGTCCATGGATTGTAGCAGACGATGATATTCAGATACTAGCATGGAATTAAAATACTGTAGGAGGCCTGAAAAAGCAGAGAGATAAAACTCATATTTTACTTGAACATATACAAACACGATACATAGTTTGTTAGTACTGATGTGCCATAGATAAAAATAGAGCAGTACAGAAAGCAACTATCTTGTAAAAAAAAAAAAAAAAAAAAGAATTTAACTATGGAGTGACTTTTTTCATAATTAAACACAGAGAATGAAACACCTACATGTGTGCCATTTTGAGATATGTATAATAAATCAACTTTAAGTGATTATTCTGAATTAGTTTTAGCAGCTTAATTGTAGTAAACAATGATTCCCGTTTCCAAAGATAGTTTCCTTCAGAATCAATTAAAAGTGTGTCAACTCGCAGACAGATATACTACTCTGAATAAGTAAACATTAGTAAGTCTTCAATCATTACCTTTTTATGCAAAAATAAACCCCTTCCCCTTTAATAAAATGCATACCTGCAAATACAAATTTAGCCAAAGAGTCAGAGGAGTGGGATATTCACAAAGAATGAGATAAAACTAAAACCTAGGCGTTTAGTTTCTTTGCTTGCTTGCTTGGTTGGCTTTCCCCAGAACACTATTCAGTTCATTGTTTTTGGCATTTTATTCACTTTCTGCTATTGCTGTAAGTATGCTTCTTGAACTAATGTCACATGAGTTAGTTTGAGGCCCGGGGGAAGGAACGATTTAGCAAATTATTCTTACTAAAATTGTGTATTTGAATGAGCCTCACAGCTTAATCATTCAAACACGGGTCATTCATTGCTAATTTTTAGTAAAATGATATTAAATAAAAAAGAATAGTGATTTTTAATGGTGAAGTCATAACAGAAAAGTAGCAGAGCACTAAAATGCTCTGGTGACATCAGTCTGAATATACAAAGTTACTAGTTAAGTGGTAACTCCCATCTATAAGAAACTTAGAGGAATTTTGATCGTTACCTCCTTAGGTTGCAGGGTCCATTTGATCCATGTTTTTGTTTGTGATCACCAACTGTACTTTTGTGAATATTTGTTAATGATATTGAATAAGTAAGTACACATCGAAATGCATATAAAGACTTTTAACAAGGCAATGTGGCTAACCCAAGAGTGTAGAGACACCTGTAATTTCACAGATTGCTTGAGAAAATTCAGGCTCAGCATAAGGGAGTACGAGCTTAGAAAAGACTAGAATCATAAAATACAAGATGAAACATCACCAAAGACAGAGATAATTGCAGAATTATTTCTGCACAGAAACGCAGAAAAGGTAGTGGGACCTAACAGCAAGATACAAAATGCATTAAAAAGATGTGAAAAGAGGGCAAAACAGAGCTCCGTGGACATTTAAAACTGATCTGAAGATGGAAATGGCAACGAGGATTAAAACTGCAGGCAGAAAAAAAAGGTAGCCTTTTTATGGGTTCACAATGTTCTCTGTACTCCTGCTTGCAATTATACTCTAGGGTGGCAATCAGTCATCAGGAACATCCAAAAAGACTAATATCTACCATAACAGAAGTTATTCCATTCATACTGTACGATGAACATTTTTCCATGATCCAGACTTAATTTCTTCTTCATCAAAAGTACTCAAATTATATCACACTAGTGTTTAAGCACAGTGAGACTCATAAACCTTAAGAATGCAATTCAACTGCAATTAAATAAAAGTCAGAGGAAGCTTAAGCTCATACTAAATATAAGATGTATTAATGTTTGTTTCAAACACTGGGTCGAATATATTGAAAAGTAATATTCAACAAATGGAAGTCTATGGAGAAGCCATGTATTCCATCTTTCCTTATAATGAGAGGCTAATCTAACTTATCAGGCTGCTTCTCAAAAACCTCTGCTTATTTCTTCCTGCTGCTTCTCCTTAGCTCTTACCTTCCAGACTCAAATGTGAACCATGTTGAGTCACGTCCGTATCTCCTCAAAGAGCTCAGAGGCCACATGACCAGCTTGACCTTGGCATTGTGGATGTCCCAGAGATAGATGTTTTCATGTGTGATCTGCATTGTACATTCCCCATAGATATCTAAATTTGGTGTAGGCATAAGATACACATTGAATCGTTCTGGAAAAAAAAAACACAACACAAAATAAGGTATCGCCAGTTAAAGCAAGATTTTATACTGGGGAAAAAAAATTAAAATATTTAGTCACTGATGGTTCAGAAATCAAGACCAAATTTCTAGTCTTGAACAGAGGTGAGGATCCACTGATGTCAAAGAAGCCTTGCTAGTATACATGAGAGGAATAAGAGGAGAATCTTCTTCATTTCATTTTCATTATAAATAATGCAGCAGACTGAAACATCTTTCACAGCTGATCTGCATAGTCCTCTTTGACAGATGTCCCCAGCAGCTTAACTGAAGCCGTTTATCCTCACATTAAGGTCCATGACTCTTTGCAAATCAAAATTCACAATGACTTGAACTCTGACAGGGACTCCTCTCTCAAAAAATGAAACTATAGGTATCTTGGCAAAACACGTATGTAGAACCATTGCCTCTTAGAAAAATTGTCCTTGAAATTGCAACCCTGGGTTTACTTACTGAAGCTCGTTAATAATACCGTTCTTTGTGTTCGGTTTCTATTTTTTTGCCAAACTCCTTATCATCTGTCAAATTAATAACATTTTTAATTATCTGTGTCTTTCTTGAAAAATCTGATTCAACACCATATATTACAATGGTCATGACATCAATTGCTATCAACTGCACTTCTACTGCAAAGTGCACTCATTGCAGTAAGAGGTCAAAGGCATTAGCAATTTTCTGAAGTGCCTGAATGCACATGAAGTGCATGTGATTTAATAAGCAATGCAAAAACTATCCTTAAAAAAAAGGAAAAAAGGAAAAAGCCAAGATGATATAAACCACCATTAACTCATATGGAAGGAAGTAAATCACAGTAATAGCAAGAGAATTTTAAATAAAAACGCAATTTTCTTTGAAGAATAACTAATGTTTCTACTAGTTTCTTCTACAAAGAATGAAAAACTCAGTTAAATTTCAGGTTGTACAGCTGAAAGTGTTAGCCTATAGTTTAACTGTAAAGGCATTGAAATCTTAGGGCTTAATAGCATAATATGGGAGATTGCAGCTGATTCACAACTTCCTTTCACAATTTTCTTTCATTTTTGAAATAGGATAGAAATGTAAAATGTCAATGCTATTGCACTGAAGGGTGTTGACAAAAAAGGTAAGAATGATTTAAAGTATGAGCATGAGCAATGCTCATTCAATAAACAGTACTGGGAAAATGTACTTTAAAGGGATGCCTGAGAGGAAAAGTGTCTCCAATTACTTAATAAATGAATGACAGTTTGGTGTGGAACATTTTTAATCCACCATTTGCACTGAATTTTCTCATGGTGTCCCCATAAAAAATAAGGGAATTTAAAGTAATCAGAAGAGTAAATAAATAAAAATAAAGTGAGAGAAATTTGTCATAACAGTCAAAATTAGATGCAACTTCCCATTGTGTTCAACATTCAATATCACAAGCATTTTGTCTCTATTTTTAAACATTTACTATATATACTTTTCTGAAAAACCAGTGAAAATTTTGCAAATAAGTGGGTTGATATAAAATATGTTAGAAGTGTGTGTGGAGTATGTGTATGTGTATCAATAAAGTAGCAAAAGTTTGTCTAAGGAATTAATGGAAGCAGGGAACTCCTGGGTGAGCAGTAAGAACTGCCGTCCTGCATAGCTATAAGTAAACTTGTCATTCCCAATGTTATTCTGTTTCAGTCAATTTAATTTTGTCCTATTAATGACTCCCCAGCTGATTCATTCAGTCTCATAGCCATTCAACCTCTTCTCCCAGGTTCTAGTTCTCATTAATCACACTAATGGGTGTTAGCCCTAAAAGTTTCATTTTATGACTAAGGTCCCAAGTGTGAAACTCTTAATGTTTTGTAAAAGTCTTCTGACACACAGCACAAATAGATTAGCAGATGCTGCTGAGATCATTGCAAAGAATTTCCCCTAGCCCTCAGAGGAGTGCATTGGGCACAGGTCTAACGTAATGCCTACTGAAGTAAATGGAAAGACTTACATGGGAGTATGGGTCAATGACTGCATTGGGAAGGGAATGGTAGAGAATAAGATAGCTTATACTTTGCAATGGAATTATAAATTTTTTAATGTATGTGTGTATATATATGCGTCCTTTTTTAGTATCTGTATGCCATTGTGATGGTCATGCAAAAAAACCTAGAAGCTACGCAGCTATGCTTTTATCATATATTAGACTCCAATTTTGCATTGTCATGCTGTTACTGTTACTTACCTCTTCTGTTTGAAAGAAAGACGCAAATGACTGACATATCAGCCAGTTCTCTTTTACGTTATGTGAAATCACACAATGTGTCTATAGGGGAATGGGACTGCTATAGGTGAATATAGTATTTCCCTGTCTTCACTGACAGAATGCATCAGACAGCAGAGAAAATGGGATGGTAAAATTATTTTCTGAAGTAAACATTAAACTCTTGTGTTGAAAGCACAGAATATTTCAACTTGCTTTAGAAGTTACCAGGATACTCATGAAACACTCAACTTCTCTGAAGTGTTTGAAGATATTATTGCATGAAGGATATTCAGGACATAAGCTATACTCAAACTGTCAGATACATTTCCTGACTTTGCATGGGAGGTCAGTGTCTAAGGTGAGGTGTCATGGATTAAAGAAAATATGTCTGATTAAACTGAACATCAGCTGCAGGGCAAAACATAGCACCCTTGGAACTTACTCAAATTGGCAAGAAAACCAAGTGTACAAACATACGGGCTGGAGAAGACTGAAGATGGATATATTTGCTTTTGAAACAAAAGCTGATACTTTTGAGTAGTGGAAGACTGAGGACATGGAAAGGTGTGGATACTACTAAATGATTTTAGGAACTAAAATGCAGGGTCCAATTTTTCCATTTCAGAAAATGTTTGAACAGCTATCTAGGTAATGGTAGTACAATCATTCAGTTTTGAGAGGCAAGTTTTGCCTTTAAACTCATACAGGCAAGAACAAAAAATCATAGGCTAGATTTGGGATCCCAGCTGAATTCGGTCACCAGAATCTCTGGCTCATATCGAATACGATATTCAGCATCTCTGTGGGTCAGACACTGTCTACATGTGAGTGGGATAAGGTCTTTTGGGAAGCGGTTTACAAGACCTCTTCACCCTTTAGTTTACAAGACCAATGTTTTTTATAAACTATTAGAATATTTTTAGTAGTTGAGCATTTTGTTTTCTAGGGCTCCAGTAATGGAGAAGAGGATTAGGAGGACGGTGAAGTAGGTGAGGGAGGATAGCTGGCCAATTATGACGAACGGGTCTTCTACTGGTGGGCTGCCCACTCATGTTCAGATGAGAAGGTTAGTGACTAGGGTTCAGTATAGGAGTTGAGAGAGTGGGCAGAAAGCTATTGTGTGTTGTTTGGATTTGTGAAGGAGAGGGCTTAAGAATAGGAGTAGTACAGAGGCAGCTAGAGCTAGTACTCCTTCTAGTTTGTTAGGGATTGAGCATAGGATGGCATATGCGAATAAGTATCATTCTGGTTTGATATGAGGGGGTGTGACTACTCGGTTTGCTGGTGTGAAGTTTTCTGGGTCTCCCAGTAAATTGGGTGAGAATAGGGCTAAGGTTATGAGTGGGAGGAGTATGAGTATGAATCCTAGGATGTCTTTTAGGGAGAAGTAGAGGTGGAATGTGACTTTGCCACAGTTTGATACAACGCCTCGGGGGTTGTTTGAGCCTGATTTGTGGAGGAAGCTGAGGTAGATGCATGAAGGATGGAAGGGTTAATTTATCAATGTAACTCTAGTGTTGATGACATGAGAAAAAAGTGTGAATAAAATGTGTGGTTATAATGCAGTGAATATTTAGTTGAAAGCTACTAGTGCTGTTTAGAAAGTTAGAGGAAGTGTAAAAGTAAGAAATTGTGTCCTACAAGCATTCGCTAAATAACAGCATAAGTGTTTGTGGATACACCATAACCAAATGGAAGACAAAGTGCATCAGTGACAAGACGATTCCCCATATACTTCAACCGTCTCATTCAGTAACTACTGAGGACCAAAGCTAGGCTGCAACACATTGTAAGCCCAGGTCTTAGACTGTAATTACCTCAGTGCACTGGAGGGGCTGCCTGAAGATGCCCCCCCCCAAAAAGGGAACCAAAAGTGCTAAGACTATCCAGATGTCACTATCACAGGTGAGATGTTGATATATAGCCTACCAGATGTCTCATGAAAAGAAATGTGTAAGGATTAATTGATATATGGCCCTGATATAGGAACCAAAACAGTTCACTGGGTTGTAAGATTAAGTAAAATATAAGTTAGAGGGACACAGAAAATAGGGACATGGAAGAAACCAAACAAGTAGATGCTATCCTGTTGGACAAACAAGGCTGAGACTGAGCAGGTGCAATTCCTCAGCATTCAGATTCACTATCCTCCTCCCTCCTTTAAAACTGGTGAGAGCAAAGTACAGGGCATGGGGAGCCAGGATGAGAAAAAAATGCTGATATACGGCTACACTTATTACTCCACTCTTTTCCATGTAATTGCTCTTTCCCACCTCCTTGAAAAAGCAGAGCAATGCTTCATCATGCACTTTGTGCATGTAAAGGTGTTTAGCATTGGGGCTTTGGCAAGAATATGACTTTTAGTAACGTTTTCCAGAGCACAGAAGCATGAGAGTCTTTGTTAAAATGAGCATGTTGATTGAGATGGAGACTTGGCAGCAACTCTGAAATGCTGTCAGCATTTCAGCTTAAAGTCCAGTTGTACTGGGGAAGCAAAATGACTGTTAGGCCAAATGATCCTGGTTCTTTTTATCACTGGATTCCTTAGCCTAAATCATCCCAGTCGGAAAACTGACCGGACAACATTGCAATCTTGCAATCCAGATGCCTTGTTTCATTTCAGCTTTAATGAGAGGGAAAAGCTACTTATGGAAGGAGGCAGTCAGGTTGATAGGGTCTATATAAGAAAAGGCTTTAAAAGCAAACATTCAGTCTCTATTTCGAAGTGACTCCTCCTACATGTCTGAGACTTCTGCTACTGATCATCTGTAGCTAATTTTCAGGTGGAAAGAAACCTTTAAGTCTTGAATTCACAGCATTTTGTGTTCATTCATATGTCAGGTCTCTTAGAATGATTCTCTCCTGCTTTACACAGTAAGGAACCAGGACTCCAGAATTAATTTTATCCCTTTGTTTATAATTATTCTGCTTTGCTTGCATTAAAGATGTATTGAAATTTTTATTAACGTATCAATGAAAATATAAAGGCTATGATAAAGAAATTATTTCAAATTATTTCACTGATATGTAGTAAGGTAGAGAAGAATCTGGAATCTCACTGGATTAATCAGCTACTAAAATTGTAAATATCTTTCTTTTTTGAATAAATCTGGCTATGTTTGGTTTAATTTTTTTTTTAAAACGAAGTATAAAAATGGATTAAGGATAACAGAAGATGAATAAAAAACATGCAAAATGCTTTCATGTAGTAAATCACAAACAGGGATTCTACAGACCCTAGAAAATGCCTTAAAACAAGTCAGCTCTGTGAACGTGATTACAAAGAGTCTATGCCTTGGCTGTAGTTACTAATCTCAATAAGTAGCATAAAGAAATAACTCATAAACCTCTTTTGAGGATTCAAGGACGTTCACTATGAAAAGCTACAGAAATTAATGAGTTTCTTGCAATTAAAACTCAGGAAGCAAAACTGCTGTTTTTAAATAAAAAAGGAAGGTAAAACAAATGTTATGAAAAAGAGGAACAACTTTACAAAGGAAGTAAGTTTATGAGATATTGATTTATATATATTAGGCAGGTAGTAAAAGTAAAAAAAATCAAGTATATTTTAAACTTTTCCAGACTTCTAAAATCAAAATTAGCTTTATAATGAATGGGAAAAAAAAAAAAAAAAAGACAAAGCACTAGTAACACATAATAGAAAAGCATCACATTGACATCACAGGCATGTTACCTAAACAATAAATGAGCTACAGCAGCAAAAGATGGATCAGGCCTTTTCTTCAGTTTAAAAAGTTGTATTTTTGCCTTTGCTAGTTTCTTCACTGTTTACATCAACTTTACAAGTAAAATTTAATACAATATGATTTAGTACAAGTATTCAGCTTGGAAAGAGTGATATTTTGTAAAAAAAATCATGAGCATGGTCTAATTCTAGATATGAAGACAGGCAGGCAGGTTAAAATATTTAAAAAAAAACAGATTTGTTTTTGTTGTTATATTTTGAGGTGTATTACAAATGCTTCCAAATGCATTGAGAGCTGAAAAGGAAGTTTCCACTTCCAAATGAAGACAGCACTCTACATTCATGATTACTTTCTCTAGAAGCAGCTTGAGAAACCTAAGGAATATGAAATGTTTGTGTATCACAGGATATTGCTTTGAAGACTACTTGTCCGCAATGTTACCAGATCCAACCAAGTCCAGATTTTCTTTCCTGGAGTTATAAGTGTGTATTATTATTTGTCTTATCATTGTACAGACAGCTCCACTGCCATTATACTAAATTCGTTATCTGAATAGGCTCATATAGCCTTCACTGCTTTTGATTTAATACTATATTTTCATTCTCTATCAAATAATCTAAATGGACATTCATAAACAGTAAGAGACTGTGTCTGGTGTGAAAAGAAATTTAAACAGAAACAGGGTTGGTGCTGTAGGGCTGAGGTACACAAATCACTCAGATTTGGAGGAGAAAGAAGGTAAAATAGTTGGAGAGTGACAGAAGTTTCATTTCAAATCTCACTTTTATTGGAATCTGCATATCATTGCAAACTAAGCAGCTACTAGTTGTGAGTCTTAAATGTAAAAAAACCCCAACAGCTAAGGGTCATTTTCTGCATCAGAGTATACACGGTAAGACTTGTGGTAATACTTCTTGAAAGTAATAACAGAGTTTAAATCCAATGAGAAGTTTTCTGTTACTGATGTGCTTTGCACAAGAATTGTTTAGATGTCTTTTCTATTATTCCTCTGATATAAGCAGTGCAGATCTATAGTTTGACTTTTTTAGCTGTCACCAGTGCAGATTTTCTTGCTGCTGGTGGCTCAAGCAACATTGCAACTACAATAAAATAGGTCTTACTAGCACTTACTGAACAACTCAGAACTATAAAAGAGCAGCTCTTTCAGATTGCTGCACTACCATAAATTGTTATCTTCATATGACAGAAATGCCTTACGAATATATGGCTTTTTAGCCATGACATTTACACATCAAACAAGCAATTTTTCCAGCCTTTGGAACAAACTGATTTTCAAACCATATTGTTGCATTCATGTCACAGGGAATCAGGTGTCTTCCCTTCTGAAATCGAAAGCTCATCTCAGGAGAACAAGAAGAGTGAGGATAAACTGCTCTCAATCCCTCAATCCTTCAATCTCAGTCAAAGCAGCATTGAGGCTGCTCTCAATCCCTTCATCCCCCAGCCCGTATTGACACGGGGGGTTGCTCCCCTCCCCCCCCCAGCCTGTATTGACACCGGAGGTTGCCCTGCACCTGTGTCGGGGCAACCCCCCATATCAATACAGGCTGGGGGATGAAGGGATTGAGAGCAGCCCTGACAAGAAGGACTTGGGGGTACCGATGGATGACAAGATGGACAGGAGCCAGCAATGGGCGCTCGCAGCCCAGAAGGCCAACCTTACAATGAGCAAGATTTTAGACATTTCATACATATAGTCACTATTTGTGAATTTCAAATTAGAAAATGAACTTTGACCTTTGACTTTCAGGTCAACAAAAGCTCAGTAGACTTTGGAAAGGTTTTTAGGTATCTTTTGAACTCCAGTTTTTGATAACATGCCTTTAAAAGCTACAATATGGGGAAAAGGTGCAAGAAAATAAATTTAAAATTTGATTTTTTTGTCAGAGCTCACTGAATTATTCCACCATACAATTAGTTACCTTTTCCATAAAACAGTAAAACAGTCATGTGGGGCATAATGTTGCCAAGTTTGCAGAATAAGATAACTAGTATAAACTGAAGTCACGATTCCACTCAACTGATTTTACTGAAGGAATCTGCTAAAGAAATTTGAGTGCAACTGCAGGTTCCTATAGCACCACTAAATGAACAAAATGCTAGATTTTGTACCAATAGCAAGAATCTCTGTACTCTTCCCTCCTTCCAAGTTGATTAAAAGACCCCCAAACCAGATTTTGCTTTGCTTCTGAACAAGACACCTTTGAATTTCAAATATGCTTATTAAAATGCAGAGATGTGCATCAAGGGGATGAGGGAAAGAAGTGGATGGGTATCAGAATTACTTGCCTGAGATACTGTAACTAAAGATTTAGCAGAGCATGCTTGTCAAATATTGGATTATATGTATTCAGCCGCTTGGTTTAAAAGAATATGGCTAATGATACCCTCCACACATTCTTATTCATGTGATTTGTACAACAAATACATGCTTTGCCTCTTTGTCTATTTATTTACTTAGCACAATAAAAATGCTAATTATGTTCATATATGCTGCTTGGTAGCACTGCAATTAATTTCTAGATTAAGGCAATTGAATCAAGCCTAGTTCACAAAACAGAACTAATCCATGTCTTCTGGAGGTCATGTGTGCGTAACTGGATCTCTTTCAAGAACAAGAGGAAATGTAATATTTGCCATCTATGTCCAAAACCTGCTTGAAAGTACATAAATTTACTGCAGAAAGAGCTTGAGGAATCTCAAGCTATTTTTCTGCTCACATCACAGGTTTTTGACAAGATTTATTCCCTTTTGAATTTTTGAAGGAGCTCCACCTGTTCACATAGTTCTCTCTTCTACAGCATGCATATGAGTTTTATACCTATAGCCTATGAGCATATAACAGACAGAATGCTTTGAGTTGGTCTGGTCATTATCACTTTCCTACAGCATTAGTAGCTTTCCCTTTGTTAAGTAGCTTGAGACTACAAATTATATCCTGTGTCTCATAGCAGGCAAACAACTTCACAAACTTTTGAACTTCTTTTAAATCACACTTGAACATGTCTGATTTTTGAACAAAATATCTTAAAGATTTCTGTGTATTTTATGTTATTAGGTTCAGAGATGTCTGGACTCTTCTTAATTAATTGAAATTAATACAACATAATCAATATAGTGCTATTCATGTTATAATTTAATTATATAATTTTGTTTATAATGATAGTTGGCTTGATAGTTTATGACCATTGAGGCAGTTTGTTTTATTATTTTGTTAAAAGCTGTTGGATCTTATAAAAGCATCAAGATAGTAATAGTCATTGAGAGTTGTAATTTAGGGAGAAATAAATGAGCACATTTTGTGTTGCCCTCATGTTCATTAATAGGAATCAAATGACAGGATAATCACAGATTTTCTTTTGTTATTGCATATTCCATCCACTAGCATCCTTCCTGTGCACCTGTCTAATCTAAATTTCTGTCCCAAATAGCCTTTAGATGAAGATTTACAAGCCCAGGCTTAGTACTGACTAGCATTTGTCATTGCCCTTTTCACCTGTATTTGATGACATTTAGATGACCTTGACTTCATTATTCAAGGCAGGTATGAGTTTAAAGCAAATATGTGTTTTGCAGTCCAAAGTGGTGTTGATATGTTCATCGTTGTCTTTTAAAGACTGTGGAACAACAGTTTGCTTCTTATTCCTCTGCACAGAATCCATTGTTTCAAGAACCAAAAAGTTCATAGTCATCGTTTCCCACGACAGGAAAACGCGAATGCAGTGAAGGCATGAAGTCACTCTATGTGTGCTATTTGACATGGAATGTAATCATCTTTATTTGTAGGAAAAAATAGGATTAAGCCTCAAAAACACATCCAAATGTTTAGTTTTTAATGACATGCTTCTAGCTAATAGTAAAAATCCTTACAACAACAAACACAAGCAAAGAAAACATGGGACATCCCTAAGAACTGATCGAGGGGCTATTACATAGTTACTTACCATTTTGTTCTCTCTGGACTCCAGCAGCAAGCAAATCTGGTTCCCCAAGACTTATGTCATTGAGCCTTGTTCCTAGACACTCCATGCAAAGATGTTTGCACCATTCCTCTGCCTCTAGTTCTGGAAAAACAAAAACAAAAAAATGTTTGTGTTAACGTTTTACTCAAAAGTTGCAAAGTTGAATCAATACCTTCTTACTGACCAGCTTTATGACAACGTGCTTGTGTTGAAACATGAGTTAGCATAAAGTTTCACATTAATTTCTTCGCCTTGATTTATGAACTTCTAAAAGAGTTTACGTTATTAGGAGTGCATCTTCCATTTTCAAATTTGGGGTTAGGAGGTGAAGTTAACAAAAAAGAGAAATTACTAGTAAGATTTCAAGGCAGTATATTTCTAGTAGGCCTTCTGGAAAGAAAAAATGCAATTTAGAAAAACATTAGATACAATATTTGAAATATTCTTCACTGCTCTTTAGGTGAATCTGAACTATTAAAGCACTTTCTGTTTCTAAAGGTTCTAGAATACTTTCCTAGGGGCAAAGGAAAAAACAGTAATAAAAAGATCTTCAAATGCAAAACCTCCTTCTTGCTCCACTGAATGGCTATGCCTGTCAAGTTAGTCTGAATAATTACTTTCTTCAGTTCTGTTTACCTTCTTTTGGTCTCAGAGCAATTTGGGCATTAATTGGACTATTTATATGAAAATTCAAAATCTTCTAGTCCTTTCTGAGTCCTCCATTGCATCCCACCAACATACACCTGAGAGCTCCCTTTCTGCCAGTCTACCAAGACATAAACTCCCCAAGGCATAACCCCCCGAGACACCACAACGGCCCCCCTCCACACCCAGCTTCATCCTATCCAATTCCCAAACTTAACGTCACGAAATCTCTGGCATTGGTCAAAGAACATCTCAAGTTGGCATTCACACAGTGTGAAACCACAACTAATAAAAACCACGCAATTAGGCTGGCTGTCTTGTTACAGGATAGGCTTCACCTAAGGGAAACTTTCTGGAGAGCAGGCTTGGCACCAGGCACAAGCTGAGCATCCATTGTCACAGTCAGTGCATATCTGATCATCTTTAAGAGTGGGTGACTCCAGTCCTCTAAAAATGTCTCTATTAAACTGCCACAGTTTTTTCCTTCCTATTTTTGGGAACATCTGGAAAATACTTTTGTGACAATCTCTCCAACATAGCGCTGAAATTCGGAGACATAGGAAAATACCGCATGCAAGCCCTGAAGCATCTGGTGATAGTGACTCATTGTAATTAGTGAAAATTTATATTCAAGAAAAATCTTTCAATACCTAATTGCTACAGTCCTCAAATCCTTGCCTGGTGAGGCATAGATCTCAAGTGACAGAAACATCTGCTGGACAAGAGAGAGAGACAGGCATGCAATTCCAGGTCTCCAAGAACTTTTGGCTACCCTCCTTTGTTCAGGGCCCTGAATAATCCAGGAACACATTATTCCTGAGTTATCCTGGCTATCAGCTGACCGAGTTTCCAGGCAGACAGCTCAAATGATAGAGCCTATTCTGGGATTTTTGAAAGCCAAATACGGTTGTTGTCACAGGGACTCAAACAATTTGGGGGGATTCTTCAGAGCACTGTAGGCAAAGATGTTTCCCTTAACTCTTCCTGATTTTTTGTAGTCTTTGTCTCAGGACACAGATCTCCAAAGCTGATCTTCTCATAACATCCTCAGCTTTTGGCGGTAAGAGACAGAACTTTCTGTCAGTAACATCCAGATGACATTTAACTTTGTATGTGAAAAGAAAATATTGAGGTAACAGCGTACTGTACCTTAACACTTCTACAGATGGAAGTAAGGTGAGAAAAGGTGTATCTCTGGACAGCAATAAAACCAGGGCTTTTAAAAGGAGTAAGATGAATTTGTTTAAAAACCTACCTCCAAAATTAATCTCCTGCTCATGCATGAAGAAATTTCCCTCCTGTTTTCCCTTCCACTGCTTCAGCCTTTGCCATTTCCTTGGATATTTGTGAGGTCTCTTGAACCAGAGCCATGCCTTATAAATCATACCTTCCCATGGAGAGGGTTTCATGCTGGGGGATCATAAAAGTGGACCACAAGACATGCTGCCATATTCTGGCAGCACACAGAGGGGGTGTGGGGGCCAGTACACCAGCACATGGGTAAGTCAAGCCCCCCCAGGGAGGGTTTCCACTGAGTTGCCCAACATATGCTTCCAGCTACAGATAAACTTGGGGGAATCAGTGCAGAAAGGCTGGTAGCACAAAGATGACAGTGCAAATCTAGTTGAGTGCTCCCATGTCTCCTTCCCTCTGACAATTTCTTTTCTGCCTAAACCATATCACAGATCAATAAGTATGCCAACAAAATGCATAGCTCTATATAACGTCTGTAATATTTCCTGGAGTGTGGTCAGGGAATAACATTTTACGTATTTTACAAAATCTGCATTTTATTACTTACTTTCATTGTGCTTGCACCCAGACTGAAAGGGTACATTCTGGAAATGTAGAATGGGATGATGGTAAACAAACACTAAACTAACATTTCTAATTTTACAAACATCTAAAAAGAAAGGAAAATTTATTGGCATTTCCATAAATCCAGCTTAACATCAATATATATTCAAAACAGGACTCATGTAAAAGCAACAAGATCTGTTTATATGTATTCTTACACCACATTTCCACTAGATTTTTTGGGAATCAAACAAAACAAAAAACCACATTGTTCTAGGAAGCTGTTTCTTGTGAGATTTTTTGTTTTCATCTCCTCAATCCACTTGCCTCTATTACAGGAACATCTAGATCTTGAAAGCTTGGATCCAGAAACTGCCTCTCAGAGTGCTTGACTCTGGCAGTTTAATTTAAGCTGCTGCTTCTTCACTGCCAGACACTGATGATTAGACCCAGATTAGAACATTCTCCAACTGCCACACAGAAGAATCTTATCTTATTGTGAGCATTATAAGACCATGGCTATATTTTGCAAAGTGTAGTCTATAACATGCATTGTATTGCCATATAACTCAAAATTTGTATCTTACAAAAATGATTGACCTAATACTACATAAAATACAGTTTCAATGCAGAACTGCAATATCTTCCCGCAGAACTATGCGGACTTGTGTCTGCTCTCAGAAACACAAACTTTATCTACAAATGTGTTTGGAAGTTCAAGAGTATGAGGGTACTATGTGAGCTAGTTTTACCTAATACATCCTGATAGCTATTGCATACTTGCAAGGGATTGCCTTCAACCTTTTCCTTGACAGATATGTGAAATCTTTAGAAGCAGGTGAATTACCTTTCAAAGCCAAAGCCATATCTCTCCTTTTATCATGTGCATCTATAAAGCAGTTCAGCATTCTCTTGTAAAAGATCTATAGAGTGCTTTGTGTTTCTAGATAACAAATTAACTATTTATTATTTTAAAAATTAAATTATTATAATTTATAGTACATAAATGCATCAGTCACAGCAGCAATCTTTAAGCATGACAGCTACCACATCACAAAACAAAGATACCACTGTTACTTCTTTATTTTGATTATATGCATATATTGAAACAGATGAAATATTAAAGTGGAACCAAGCCATAAAAAACTGTCAGCAAAATCCTTCTCTTTAATGCATGTAGACTAGATTTATTGGTGGTAAATGCTGAGTTTTTAGTTGTAACTGGTACTTGTCATTGAAAAATTTACTTTCCTTTTGAGATAACGGAATTCTTGGACTGAATGATAAATTATAAAGCATGCTTCCACAGTTATAAATAAAATCCAAATGCTCACATTTTCATCTTTACTGTTATTCGATTATAAAATGCTGCTATACAACTGTCATGAAGTGAGATAAAATGCAAAGAGATGGGACCTTAATTAGTCACTCTTTATTGCATAAGAAATATTACCAGGAACAAATCTGTAAACCTGTTATCTGAAAACACACTCCTTGTTATTGGCAATATTTTCCTGCAGTTTACCTGAGCTTCTAGGTCATGCCTGAGGTTATATGTCATTTCTACTTCAGTTCCCAGGTGATTAAACTGGTGCTGTACCTACTCCAGCCACTGAAGTTGTGTATTACAAATAGGTAATACCACAGGGTGATAAATGGGTTGGTTGATACAATAATGATGGTGAAATAATATTGGCAAATGGTATTAGAAATATAAATTTGTAATAGTTAAAGAGCTCTTCTGCTGCTTGCAGTTTAAAATAGCTCGTGCTACACAACATTCCACAGGGAGGAAGTGGCGGGGCAGAGGTACAGATATATTTCACTTCACTGTCGTTAGAGATCCCCTAGATCTCTAAGGCTAGAGGTGGGATTGTTTTCAGACTCCTAACTTACGAAGCATTTTGTGTGTGGACTAAACCAAATACCTTCTGAATCCTGATAACTTTGCATTCTTTCACATTTACCTCCTGTGTTCACATTGCACAATCCTATAGGTGCCTGTCATCATCCACCACAAGTTGCAAGCATGGTCGACTGCCATGAGCCTGAGATAAAGCCCCAAGGAGGTGACCACTCCTGCTCAGTCCAGCTTTGTCTCCTTGAGTAATGCCATCTTCTGCTCTGCCAGGCAATGCCTCCATTCCAGGCGATCCCTTCCATCACTAGCAGCACCTAATTATTGCATTTGTAAAAAAATGGCTCCATTCATATGCAACTCTTAAAGTTTGAAAACAAGTATGAGGAAGTTTGTCTCTTCCCCTTCTCATGCAGACCGCATAAAGTGATGCAACCAAGGATTTAAGCTGGAAATAACAGGCATGCAATATTAGAGGGGTATAACAAACATTGTCCTTGTGCAAATCAAAAAACCTCACTTGCTTTTTGAGCTTTCCCTAATGTCAAACTGTATAAACCTAAAATGTGAGTTTTTTCATTTCTGAAACTTTTTAATGTATTTTCTGCACAAATTGTTTGACTCTTCTTCCCTCTAAAATACTACTTCTATAAAAGGTCTAAATTCAACTGCATATTCTTACTCTGAATGAAACTGAAGAATCTTTACTGTTTGGATTAGTAGGACTTAGGCCTCATATTCTCTACCAAGAAAGAAAGATGGTGCAGAAACGCCACATGTGACAATTTATCTCTTCTAAAAA